CTGGAGGGGTGGGAATTTGGCTGCAGTGGGATACAAGGAGAGGGATGCAGGGCTGGGATTTTCATGGAAAATCACTGCCTTTGGAAGCACAAAGTGCCTTTTCCAGGCTCAGCTGGAGCAAGGTGGGAATTTGGCTGCGGAGGGGTGCAGGGCCAGGGATGCAGGGCTGGGATTTGTGTGGATGCAGGTGATGGGTGTGGGATTGAGTGTGGGATTGAGTGTGGGATTGAGTGTGGGGTCCTGCAGCCCGGTGGGCAGCCAGAGGAGCTGTGGGTTTGGGAACGGCCGTGCCCGCTCTGGGAATGATTTATCCCACTTTTCCCTGGCTGCAGCTGTACCTGTGTGCCCTGGAGGGCTGCTCCGAGGGCTCCATCCTGCTGCACTACAAACACACGGGCTGTGCCCTCCTCACCTGCTTCATCTTCGCCACCCACCTGCCCGAGCGCCTGGCACCGGGCACCTTCGACTACATCGGTGAGTCCCCGGCAATCCCGGGAATAAAGCACCTGGAGCAGGAGGGGCTCCCGGAGGAGGTCACGTGTTCCCTGCTGGAAATGTGGGAGGGAGTTTTACAGACAAGGCACAGCAGTATCTCACATATATAAATTATGGGTATTTTGTGGGATATCTTTGTGGAATGTTTTGGGGGAATATTTCGCGTGGAATGTTTTGCTTCCAAAATCTTCCACGGGGGGTTTCACGCCCACAAAACGCTCATTTCTCGTGGAAAACTCCTCACCTGGGGCACAGTGGTGCCGTGGCAGGAGCAGCCACCAAGGAGCTAGGATAGGATGGGATGGGATGGGATGGGATGGGATGGGATGGACACCTTGGGGTTTTCCCTGTTTGGCCACACCACGGACAAACAGAGCTGTGGGCACATCCCTGTGCCAGGACTGCAGCACAAACACATCCCTCATTCCATTTGGGAAGGAAGAGCTCTGTGCAGGATGATAAAAGCCACAGGAATTAGTAGAGTAAATATTTAAAGGAGATGGAGGGAGGGCAGAGCGTGTGGAGAGTGTCTGAGTGAATCACGGAATCCTGGAATGCTCTGGGTGGGAAGGGACCTTACAGCTCATCCCATCCCACCCCTGCCCTGGGCAGGGACACCTCCCACTAGCCCAGGTTGCTCCAAACCCCGTCCAACCTGGCCTGGAACATTCCAGAGCTGGGGCAGCCACAGCTTCTCTGGACAAGCTGAACTCCCAAGGAGTTCCCTGAGTGCTTTATCCCTTCCTTCTGTTTTAGGACATCTCTGTACTTTGGGGCCTTTTTTTTTGGGGGTTTCTTTCTCTTTTGGGTTGTCTTTGTATTTTGGGTTCCTTTTGTATTTTGGTTTCTTTTTGTATTTTGGGTTCTTTGCATTTTCGGGTTTCTCTGTGGTTTTGGGTCTTCACATTTTGGGTTTCTCTGTATTTTGGGTTGCCCCTGCACGTTGGGGTGCCTCTGGCCTGCGGCTGCCCCTTGGCCCGTGGGCTCCCATCACCCCATCCCGCCGTTCCTTGCAGGGCACAGCCACCAAGTTTTCCACGTGTGTGGGATCCTCGGGACGCACTTCCAGATGGAGGCCATCCTGAGGGACATGGCTGAGAGGCACAGCCAGGTCCTGCTGCCCTCCTCCCTGCAGACCCTGTGCTCCATGGGGGTCTGTGTCACCGGGAGCCTGCTCGTCATCGGGATCAGCTCCGTGTCCCTGCCCCTCATCCCGGAGCCTCCGCACAGGGACAAATCCCACTAGGACTGGGGATTGTGGCATTCCTGCTGCTCCACCAACACCCAGCACAGTGTTGGTGTGGACGAGGGGTTTGTTTGCTCCCAGTATTTATTGATGATCTTCTCAAGGGCTCGAGGAGCTGCACTGGTTTATCCACTGAGCTTTAACGCTGCAAACGGGTTCGGAGACGCTTTAAATCCAGTTGTTATGCCAGGAGAGATGTAAAATATCCTGAATTTTATCCGGAAAAAGGGACAGAAGTGCTGCCACTTCCCAAAGCAATGGGGATTCACCAGGTGTGCCTTAGGGAGGGGTCACAGGGAACGTGGTGACACCGAGGGCACCGGTTTGGAGCGATGGCCACGACCCCTGGGGAGGCACGAGGGCTCCCTGACCCCTGTTCTCACCTTCCAAGGGGCATCATTTTGGAATCTGAAGCCTTAAATGTGCACCTTTCACAGCCTTAAACCCAACCCCAGTGCCTGACAGATGTGGGATTGAGGAACTGGTTTAAAATCAGCTGGTTTTGATCAACAGCTGGAAAAAGTGATCCTGGAAGAGCTTCCATGGGGTGTTCCTCCAGAATAGCTGTTTTTTGGGGTCTAATTCTGGCACAAAGGGAAGTAATTCCTGTGGGAAAGCTGAGCTCTCATGTTGGCAAAGCAAGTCCATCCTTTCCTGAGTGTTTCTGGAGGCTGGATGGGCCCTTGGATGGAGGGGCTGACACGGGAGAGCCAAACCCCCAAACCCCTCTGGGTTTTGGGGTCACTCACGTGGGATAATGCTTGGAATGTTCTGTTGGATGAGGGGTTGGGATGGGGGTGTCCAGGAGGATGAACCACCAGCAGAGCAGGGAGTGGGATCTGGGCAGTGTGGAGTTGGGAGAAAGGCAGGATTTGGGATTAGATACCCGAGGGATCAAACCCTGGGATTTTAAAGCATTCCCAGAGTTATCCCTCTGCTCCTGCTGTTGCTCCTTGCTTCCCTTTCCTGCTGCTCCTGGATTTTCCAGGCACAGAGCCTGGAGGTCTCAGCCTGAACCAGGAGAGGGAGAGCTCAGCTGGTGGCTCCAGGAATCCAGGGAAAATCCCCTTGGATTTTCCTACAGGAACAAGCGACACTTCTAGGGAATATTATCAATCATACGGGTGTTTAATTAATGTTTTAATTGCCTCTGCCAAGGTAGAACTGATGCACTTTGGAGTGACAACCCAACAGCTCATTAAATATGGGATCATGTGGTTAAACATGGAATAACTAAATCCTTTGTTTTGAAAGCTGACCAAGATTTGTGGGAATATTTATAAGCACTGGAATGTAATTGTTTATTCAGAAGTTTTATTGCATTGAAAGAGAAAACTAATATAAATCACTGATTATAATCTGGTTTTTACCGTTTGATAAGAATATGGCTGGGGGAATTAATCACTTTGGAGATAATGGCTGATAATTGCAGAGTTTATTTACCGTGGTGGGAGTGGGGAGGAATCCAGCTCTGCCTGCAGGACACGACTGAAGAGCCTGGAAAACCCACGGGAATCATTGCACGGCTTTTTTGGGTCATTTAACTTTTGAACTGAGGGGTTCTGCTCCTCTTCAGCTGAAAGGAAAATTGTAGGAAAACTGCACTAAAAATCTAACCCTGGGTTATGGAATGCCATGATCCCACTGGATCCTTTGTCTGTGCACGGGGAGTGGGTGATGTTTGATCCTGAAGCAGCACAGAGCAGCCAAATTTCTTCCTCAGCTGGACAGAGGCCTCAGAAAATCGATTTAACGTGTGAAATTCTCCTCACAGAAGAATTAAAAACTCTGTGGCAAATTGTTATGAGTCAATAAACGAGGATATTTATTTGTTGGAGCGTGTTTTGTTGTGTGTGTGTTCCTGACCCACAGCAAATCCCAACAAGGATCTGAACTGCAGGACCAAATCCAGGGAATATCCCTCAGCTGCTCCTCAGCCACGTGGGTTTGGACGGGCTGGGAGAGCTGGGAATGTTCCCCTGGAGAAGAGAAGGATCCAGGGAGACCTGAGAGCCCCTTCCGGTGCCTAAAGGGGCTCCAGGAGAGCTGGAGAGGGACCGGGGACAAGAGGTGGAGGGACAGAAAAAGGGGTAAGTGCAGTTCCAGGTGCTGTTATCCACGTGTTCCCAGGGCTTTGGGAATTCCAGCTGGTTTTTAGGGTGTTTTTAGGCCCTGTCCTACAAGTTTTAGGCTGTAGGGCAGGGCCAGTTTCGGCTGGTGAAGGTGGGACTGCACCCCTGGGATGGGGGCTCTGACTCTGCTCCTGGGGAAATCAGGGCAATTTTGTCCTCTTTTAAATATCCTCGATTTGTATTATAAAAACATGATGAAATTTGCCTGTTTCCTTGTGTTTTAAACTGGTTTAAGAAGGGAAGGTTGGCCTTGGACACTGAGAATGGTCACAGTGAAAAACAGAAGGCAGAGGGTTGGAATTTCTTTGGGTTTTTTCCCTCGTGAGTATAAACTCACTTGTTATATTTAATTTGCACTAAAACTGTGAGTCTTTGGTTTAAAAACAATCGAGTTCAACCCCCTGGAAGCCTTTGCTGAGGGTTCAAGCCCGAGTTACTTCATCCTCCACCCCAATTTCCACATTTTCTCGTCAGGAAGTTTGGGCTTTCATAAGCTTGTTCCACCGTGGTTTTTACACGTCACAACAGCACATTGGAACCTTCATTTCCCCCCGTGGATCATTTCAGGTGGGGAATTAACTGATATACTGATTTAATTCAGGAATTAACTGATTGACTGATTTAATTTGGGAATTCACTCATTGATTTCACATAGGAATTTACTGATTGACTGATTCACCTGCAGGCGTGGCCACAGGGGAGCCCTGGCACTACGAACTGACTGGATTACACCCCTTTTCCTGAGAACTAAGGGGATAAAAAAGGAGATAAATAAACCCAAGGCCGGACACAGCCCCGCGATCCGGCGGGGCCGGGACTCGAACACGTGGGCTTCCCCTCCTTCTCTTCGTGACCAGCAGGGGGCGCCCGCGCCCAGGGCCGCGCCCCTCGGCGCCGCCATGGCAACGCGGTGCGCGATGACGTAGCACGCGGCCGTGCGCGCTGATTGGCTGGATTTGAACGCGGCGGGCGCGCGGCCGCGGCTCGGACCCGGCGCGGCCCCGATCGCGACCCCCGGGCCCTGTCGCGACATCGGCGGAGACACCGCAACATGAAGGCGGCGTAAGTCCCTCCACAGCCCCTTCCCGGCGCGCCGGGGGCGCGGGGCGGGGTGGGGCTGCCACGGGATGGGTCCCCTCGGGGTGGGGCCGCCACTCAGGATCCCTCCCCGCTCCCCTCAGGGTTCCCCCCATTCCCCTCCCGGGTCCTTCCCCACACCCGGTTCTCTCCCTCCCTCCCGGTTCTTTCCCCTCGTCCCAGTTTCCCTGCACCCAGTTCTCCTCCATTGTCCGGGTTTCCCCCCCTTTCCCGGTTCTCTCCCCCCTTTCCCGGTTCTCTCCCCCT